AGAAGGATCTAACGCCCGGCCAACATCCCTGCGCTGCGCTACATCCCCGCGCTGCTGCTGCCTGACCGCCGATGTGGTCGCTGCCGTTCGATTACCGGTACGTGCCGGTGACGAACACAAGGAACATCCAACAGAACCGCTCAGGGACCCACAGGGAACTGTTGCAGTTTATAAACAAATCACAGAACAACTTTTTTCCTGGTTTTGGTGGGGGGTTTTTTTGGTTTTTTTTTTTTTTTTTAAAAGAACAAACTGCACCCTTTAGGTACACGTGAGGCCATTAATTAAATATACTCGGATGGAAAGCAAGACAGCCGTGTTATAAATACCCCAGTATCAAATGTAAAACCCAACGCCGAGGCCATGAAAAGCATTATCCAGTTACAGCTAGTTTACATCTCGGATACAGGGAGAAGAAACCCACCACTTTATTTCTTGAAGACTTTATGTTTTCTGTCTGCCCCTCTCCTGACAACTCCCATTGTCTGGCCGCTGAGTAGCCCTACTGAGAGCAGCTGTACACGCTAATTTGTGGTTCACTGAGATGTCAATTGAGTCTTAAAATGAGAAAACAACAGCTGCAAAACAATACTTGGCTTTGGCACAAATATTTTCTAAGGTGTACAAAAGTTTAAGATGTTTTATTAGATAAACATAAATACAAACCGTAACCCTAGACCAAGTAAAAACCAAAATAATCGGAGCTTCAGTCATTTTCTGTTGGCATTTCTCATTCTACAGAAGCATTTCACATATTAAAGGAATTAACAACTTTACCTTGAGAAGGGAGGACTTTCTTTCGACGACGAACTACTTTCCGAATTCATTTCTTGGCTCCCTTTTGCTTTGGAACTGTTGTCACCAAGATCCCAACCTGTCCAGTAAAAACAGGAAACAAATTTTCAAACAACAGTGGCCGGGCCTTACAACAGTGAGCAGTCCCTACAGCAACACGCTCTTATTTTCAAACGGACACATCTCGGTTTGATGGCAAAGTCTAGAGAGGGGCATGCACCACACTGCTACGGCATCTGCCTCAAGACTGTTTGCTCATGAGTAGGTGGAAATCAGTTAAAAACACAGAAAACAAGACTCCCTCGCTATCAATTAAGTTATCTGATAATGATTTCTTATGAATAGTGACATTTTTTGCATGTTTTACCTTATTTCAGAAAAAAGAGCAAGCACTGAGATTCTCTTAAGAGCTGTATTGCATCATGGCAACTTCAAGCAAAAATTAAAGGATTTCTGGGCTCTCTTTACTTTTTTTTTTAATCCTCACATTCTCCTTTAGGTAATCAGGAAGAAAGGTTATTTTTATTCTCCTTCCCCTTAAACGTGGATTATTTTGGATAGTTACAGTTCTCAATATTATTTGTTACATCAGTGTTTTCAACCATTCCCAAGTTAGAGCTGCATTGGGGAGACACAAACCTTGTGGGATTTTTACGACTGAAACAGCCAAACATCTCACTATTTTAAAATCTTTCATCCACGCTTCCCTTTCTTTCTTCCCCCCCTGCTCTGTATCTCATTTCCATTCTGTAAAGATTGATTTAAAAAAAAAAAGAGGTAAATGAATTCATTCACTGGAATTGTACAATTACTCATCTTTGTACTCATTTCCAAACGACGCTCCAGTACAAATCCCACTTTAAAAGACTGCTTTGCATATATATATAGTCCTGAAATTATAAACAAGCCCTAATTGTTACCAACTTCATTCTGTCCCAGGACAATTTAGTATTTCTGTACATCTTGGGTACTTTCTCGCTGGCTCCAGGGGATCACAGCACTGTTCCTGGATCTCAGCGGCACGAATCCCGCTGGGTCTCAGGCACTTCCAAGAGCAGGTGACCGCTGGCCGACTGGCACGGGACATGGGAGAGCTCGGGCACGAGGGCTGCGGTGGCAGCAGCGTCCTGCTCGCGGAACAAAGTCTGACTGCTTCCCAGAGAATGCACGGGGAAAAAGGGACATCAAGAATGGGAGGGGAAAAGAGAGAAGAGGAAAAAAGGGACACACACCCCCCTTCCCGTGAGGTACACAGGAATGCATCTGCACGCTCAGGGACGCGCTTCTCCTGCGCACAAGTTACTTTACTGCTGTCGAATGCTCTTCCCGTCCCTCCGGCAGCGGCACGGAGCCCGTCTGACCCAGGCGTGCCTGCTGCCCCTTCCCAACGGCCCGGTCTCTGCCAGCGCTCCCAGAGCTCGCACCGGGCCACTGCTGTCGCACAGCTCTCCCTATGGCTTCTGCACGTGCACCAGCCTCAAAAGCCCATTCCCCCAAGCTTCCCGTGCCTGCGCTGGCTCCCCTTCCCTCCCAGCATCAAACAGTAGCACAAACTACTTGGTCTTCACCTTTAAGGCCCTTCAGAGCCCAGCTCTGCCCTACCTGTCAATTATAATACAATGCTGGGCTATCAATCCCCACTTCTGCCTTAGTTACACCAGACTGCCTTGCCAATTAGTCCAGTTCCCCTCGAGCATCTTTGTGCTGACTCACACCCCACGTCCCCTACAGAAGTGGGAGACCTTTCAGGAACTCCTAAGCCCCGCAGCTCGCCTCCCTGCAGAGCCTGCTGCAGCAATTCATCTGGGTGGGGGCGCCCACAAAGGGCTTGACGACGCGTAAGCGTGCAGCGACTGCTGCCTTGCGTGCTGAGCAATCACCTGGCTCTTACCTCCTCTTACCCCGCTCTAAAAAAAAACGTCCGCAGCGTAAGTCGGGGGAAAGGAAGAGTCTCGGTTGCAGACGTGCGGCGCTGACAAGGAAACCAGCCCAACCTGGGCACGCAGCAACACTTGCTTCGCCTTTGTGAGCGAGCACAAGCGACTGGTGCAACATGCAGGGCAGGAAAGAGAAGACAGAAGTACGCTGCTAGGAGAGAAAGCCCTTAAGCACGTCCCTTCCTCCTGATAGGACTGCATCGTGACATAAAACCCTCGTGCGGACCATAAACCCAATCGTCCTGTTTAAGGTCAAATGCAACTTAGTTCAAAAAGACACTTTTATTCTGGGGTGCACGTATGTTTCTGTTGTTTGTTTTGCCAGAAGCATCTACCTTGCCGTGTTATAACGGCACCCTCCCTGTCGCAGGCTGGGGACGGCCAGAGGCACACTGCGCTCAAACGCAAATACACGTTTTTCCCTGAGCACGCAGCAGAACGCAATAGCCCTGGCAAGAAAGATGCACCAAGTGGAGGAGAGGCAAAAAAAAAAGACAACCAAGAGAAAGTTCAGTTTACGTCACACCGGGAGCGTGCAGACCAAAACCCTTGGATGAAAGAATTGCCAGTGCCATAGAAACCGTTCAGCGGGGAGCAGCAGCAGCTCCTGAGAGCCATCTCCTCGCACCTCCTGGGCTGTACACGGGCTCGCTAAAAAGCACCTCTCCCTTCCCGTCCAAATTTGGTAAGTTTGAGTAAAAGCCAGATGCCATCTGCCTGACGTTCTCTTCCTAAGCGGTGTTTGGAAGGAGCAGCCTTGCCACACCGCCAGCTCTCGTGTTCCGAGACAGCACAGAAGCACCGTAGGTGTGCAGGGGTGAACAATTTTGTTGAACAAAATGGGTGTAGTTTTCTTCATTAGCCAACAATGCCAGGGAAAAAACGCCATCATTGCATAATGACCCGCTATTATTTTGTTCCGTCGAACAGTTAAAGTGATTTCTAACCCAGAACGTACCAGCACAGAACTGAAAAGACGAGATTTCTCCATGAGTTCCCCCTATGGCCTAGGGTGCAGCATCTATCAGAGTTATAGCCAAACATCTCAGTAGCTAAAAAAGCAATGTGATGCAATTTTCTGCAAACGAAGAGATAAGAAAAAGCTCTTGGCTTCATACTTGCAACGTTTATATCTTGCTAATTGTATTACCTCTCACAGAGGAAGCAGCTCACACTTTTTAAGCTTCAAAACCGGCATTAAAGCCCTTCACTGCAGCTAGGGTCCCAGCAGAGAGGAGTCATCTGCAGACCCCAAATCACCTTTCTATGAACAGTCTCCAAGAGTTTGCCTCTGCCTGTCTCGAAATGGGAACGTAATTCACAAGGTTGCTGGTTTTCACAATGCAGACTGGGAAAACAAATTGGTTGGTCATAGGCTTCATGCGTAGCCCTACAGTTGGTGAGCAAAACCGAAAGCTTTGACCTAAGCGACAAAGCACGTCGGCAAGCTGCAGAAGCGGTACAGTAGGTGCTGCTTTACTGGGAGACGAACAAGAGCACTTTGTACGCTACTCAAAAGCTATAAAGAGCTATCATCCATTATTTCCAATAACAATCAATAATCCCGTATGCAAAAGGAGGTAGTTGGAGGGCAAAAGACCCCAGTGCTTTTGCGGGCTCAACCCACACGCGTATCTGCATCTTCCTCCCGTGGGCAAGCGAGAACCTACGCCAAAAGGGACTTTGCTTTTCCCACCAATGAAATAGTTAGCAGCTTGGGTATTTCAGCTGTCACTGGGCTTCAAAGACACCAATGCCTTGAAGGGAATATTATCAGATCAGCGGAGCCCGCAAGCTGTGTAGTTGTACAGTTACCTTGGCAATAGTCATTGCCCTCGCGTTCACAAGTCCCGGTAGGTCTGGGCTGCCATACCACTAGGGCTTGTACCAAAATACAAAACTAACAATACTTCCTGCCCACAGGAACTTTAAATCTGAACGAGCTCCTCCACCACATTAACACTAATTACTGCACTTGCTGACAACCTACAAAGAGCTACGGGGGATGAAAGGCAGGCTGTCAGCTGCTGGGCCGCTGCCGGCACAAACGGCCACTCTGCAGCCTCCGCCTTGGGACCAGAGGTGTGAGTGCTGGCTGTACGCGGGCTCTCGTACGCAGCGATTTCCCTTGCGAAAAAGCTAAATGCTTGCGTACAGAGAGAGGATAAAGGCTACCTGCAAATCCAACAGAAGGATGAGCTCTTTGGAGAGCAGAAAGATGGAAAATCTCCAAATTAAAACCTGAGCAGAACACCGCAGTAACCAGTACCCAAGAGCAGGTCAAATACCAACAAATGTCTCTCCCTTCCTTTAAATGGAAAAAAGGAGAAACACTCTTACTGTAATAACAGACCAACGTACGATGCTATCCTCTTGAGAGGAGACACTTGGATGACCAGCGGACTCTGAGATCCTAGTGGAGCAAGCCGTCCTGTGAGAACACTTCCAGAAGCTGCTGCCTCTGTTTAAAGATCAAAGAAGAATTCTCCCCCAGAATTCATAACTATAAAAAGACTCTGAGGTCTTTCAGGAACTTCAGTAGATGATATTTTACACTGCTCGACTTGAGTACGTAGTCCAAAGTAATTTAAGCAAAACATACAATCTTACGCTGTCCCAAGGTAGGTCTGCGAGACCACAACAGCGATTAATCCCATACAGATGAACTTTTTTCATAACAGCCATTGCGAATGGGTTGATATCAAATGAAGCGAAAAGTTGGGCAGACTTATTAATGCCTTTATTAGTGCACTCCAAGTGGAACCTCGGGAACCTTTTAACTTCATGCTCAAAGGAGGACCTCACCGGGAAGGACGCGTGGGCGTGGGAAAAGCGTTGCCAGGATTATTGGCTCATTAAAGGTGACCTAAAAAGGAAACCAGAATTGGATTCGCACCCTTTCATGTTCCCTTATGATATATAAAGAAGGGCTATTTTTTTTTCCCTTCATAAGAGGGATTTTCCTCCTTATTTCTACATTAGAGATTTTATACCTGGAGAGTAGCTGGAAGGTGACATTCAAGATGTTGTGAAAGCGAAGCCTGATGAGTGGAGAAGTAACACCAGTTTTATTCAAATGCTTTACAGCTTTAACGTCTATTTAAATCAAAGGCATAAATGAAGGGTAGAGAGAGAACCTGGTTTTGTTAAAGATATAACAAACCTGCCCCTTCAATAAAATCACCAGTTTCCTACTCATAAATGAGACTCTTAAACAGTCATCCAGCAAAATAAGAAATAATGGATTTTATCCTTTCTTTCTAATCTCGCATTATTCGCCTACCTCAGGAGCAGCAAAAAAGCTGAACAATTTCCTTTACATGTCTTCCCACGATAAAAAAACAAAGCATCCATGAAGAAAATGAGAACAAGTCCACATATCCCCCTCTATCCTCACATAACCTGGTATAAAATGAGATTGCTATTAATAGCTACCGCCTCTCTGGGTGAGCCACACAAGAGGTAATCCCTTTAAAGTCAATTATCACAACGTGGCCTTCCACAAGCTTAGGACAAGGCTCTAGGGAAGAAACCATCTTTCTGCTAGGAGGTGCACTGCCCCACGCCCCCCAGTTGACTACGGGTTTGAAAAGCTGAGGTGTCCTGCCACTGGCTCCGAGGGTGCAAGCCTCTGCTTCGAGGAGCTCCGGGCGCAGGCAGTCCTTGCCCAGGTGGTTTCGGGAAACAGCCTGGGCTGCCCGAGGGACACCTAACACCACCCGGCCACCGCTTGAAAGCCCTTTTCCCCAAAGCCACCCAGCTGTCTCCTTCCTCACCTCCAGGCACTAAAGAAAAACCACAAACACTTTTGCAATGCTTACAGAATATTAGAATCAATATTTTGGGGTTGTTTTTTTTTCCTGTAACAGAAGCAGAAGAAAAATAAACCAAAACCACCAAAGGATTTGTCAAGTGCCATCCCAGAAGACTGCTTGGAAGCACATCCACCCAGTTCTCACAATGAAGTCCATCAAAATCCAAAAGTCCCAAGGGTTCCAGTGTTTCAAACCAACATTTAAAGCCCTTAAAGAATGCAGCAAGTATTGGAAAAACCCCAAAATCTGTATCCCTTAAGCTTGGAAAAAGTTGTACAGCAAAACGGTCACATACAGCATGGACATTAAATGACTTCAGCTAAAAACACAAAGACAAACCCTCAAACAAGTCATTTGAGCCCAAAAGACAACGTGCGGAGATGTTGCCTCTATTTTAGGTGCGGAACAATTTCAGTGCTACAGGGCCGCAGTCTATAGCAAATAATGATGAGCAAAAAGGAAAAAAGCGACAGGCTGGAAGGGCGAGGAGCCGGAAGAGAACAAGAAGCCCGGAGAAGATCACGGGCTGAAGATGAATCACATCTGAAAGGAGAGACTTCGCTTTCAAGTGAGATATGAAAAGCCTCACTCCTAGAGATGATGCGACCACTGGCTATGGGAAACACGCTGCAACAAAACAGTAAATAAAGCAGATTCAGAAAGAACAGATTTTAAACCCAAGTTACTGGTTTTAGTGTATAAATACTGAGAAAGTCCCTTATCTAAACAAATAGGAAGCACTAGTATTTGCACGCCCGCTCAGCAAGAAAGCTACGGGAGAAGCAGGGAAGGGGGACGTCCGCCGTGGCTTGGCTTTTGACCTGACATCTAACACAGGAACAGCCGCACAGACCGTCAGGGTCCCCAGCAGGAAAAACTGCAATAGAGAATTCCCTAACACATCTGCATGCAAACCCACAGCTAAAACCAGTACTGACACGGCGTAAGATCCAGGGTGGGGAGAAGCAAACCAAAAGCATCGGCAGCTACGGAGACCCGAATGCAAGAGCCGGTATTCTCCTTAAAAAAACCTCCAGGATCGGTGATGGCATGAGCTGGAGGGAGTCGCCATCCCTGGCATTGTTCTTGCTCGGACTCTCTGCAGTTTAGGGAACTTCAACCCCAATCCTGAAATTTGAATCCTCTTAAATTACAAATAAAATCGAACCAATCCCAAGATTTGCAAAATTTTAGATTAATTTTCAGATGAGAAGTGTGTTTTCTTTCATGAAAAAGATTTAAGTGGCTTTTAATTCCTCTGAAAAGCAATGCAATTCATGTTTTAAAATACGAGGCCATGTGTGACTGAAGGACATTTTAAGAAGCAGGAAAGTGGAAAGCATTCTACTCTAGAAAAAAAAATAAAAATCTAAGTTTTATCGGGCTAACATAGGAATATTATTGCTGCAGTATAATTCAAGAATAGAAGCAGCACATTTTTATATTTCAGCTGCAAATTAGGCTCAAAAAAGCATCAGAGGAAAACCTCTATAGAGAAATGAATTGCTCTCTGAAAGACAGGCTATTTTGAAGCCGTAAAAGAGCAGAAAAGCAACAGCGAGCATTGCATAAGCAGATGCCCTCGCACCTTTCTGTCAGAGTACACACCTGCATAAATAAATATTTAGCCAAACATCAAAATTTATAAGGAAGCAGCCCACCACTTTGCAAAATCAGGGCAAAGCAAATTGAGACTCATTGCAAAGAGCCCTGCCCTGAATACTAATGCGTTATTGATACCCCAGGACCGAAAAGCAGCGACGTCTCGGGATCCTGGGCAAGGCTCGTACATCTGCTGCGGGAGGATCTGAACACGTCTCGATAAAGCCTTATTGCTAAAAATTTTGCGTTATCAGGCAGCTTTTGTAAGGGAGGCAAAGGCACGGCTTCCCAGCTAGCAGGGTTTTTCCCTGCGCTTATTCTAATGATACACATTCAATTACTCGAGAAAAGAAAAGAATCAAATCAGAAACATCTGTAGTTTGCCATATAATTACTGGATCTTCCCCATGGAGACTGACCTTTGTAACACTGATACCGGGACCTGAAAGGCTAAATGACAGGATATTCACATGGTTTAAATGTATAACATGATTACAAGGAATTAAATAGGCGCTGTTATTTTCCATCTTGGTTTATGTTAACATAAGCGTGGACTTTATGATCTTACATTTAATCTTTGCGCTCAGTATGTAGTAGCTGAATTTACTCACTATTAGTGGACCCAGACCACTAAAATGCCATGTTTTGATTATATAATAAAGTTGAATACTGGATTCGAGGTTAATATGCAGCCATTACTTTTACCTGTAATAGGAATCTTTTCGACCGCGCTTTCTTCCTTGCTCTCATCTTCACACCCGCTTGTGACTTCTGGATGTGAACACACCATAATGAAACACATTTCAAAGTCGCAGTGATCAGACTGGTTTGTTTGCTTTTAAGCCCTACTCCCTTTAATTTCTCACTTTTGTTATCTCTTGTTTATTGATCTAAACTATCCATTACCGTTCTTAAAAGAGGCGCCTACTGTGAACTTGCCTCGCATGCGAGGCTACCCTGCCTCTCTGTAGCTTCCAGAGAAAAGGACGAGCTAACCAAATGTCTTAAATTATTTAAGACCCAATGGGATTTAGGAAACAAACAGCCCACAGTAACTCTGCGATTTCGTCCAGCAGCCCGACAGCAGCAGCATATATCATACCGACCGCAGAAAATTAGTTTAAATCAAAGTCTCCAGGCTCATCCGTGGATAAAAGTCCCGTGAATTTAGGAGGCCTAGAGCAGTTTGTTTACATTTGCTGTGTAAAGAGCATTGCAACCTAATTGCCTGTCTCTTCCGGACTTTGATGTAAGGGATGCTCTCAGAGCAGACTGAGCGAGTTGCCGTCGCCGGTTATTACGCCGGACTAATATATTACTTCCTTATCTAAAGAAATTAGCTGGGTTTTCACAAACGCGTTCACCTTCTAAGCTCTGAAACTGCACTGCACACCCTCCTCAGCATGAACTCTTATTTTTGCAAATTTATTCTGCGATCTGGCTTTATAATAAAAGACAACGAATATATCCCACAATTTCTAAACGGTAGACAGTTTTTGAAGATGTGCACACCCAGAGATCAGTTTTGAATAAGTGCCACAAGGCTTGCTTTTCTACTCCTGCAGAAAAAAAAAAATAGTCACAATAGGCATCGTGCATTTTAAGAAGTAACGAGAATGACAAACGATCCTGAGATATTTAGGAAAATTCCCCGACGTTCGTTACAAATATACATTAATTTGCCAGTTGCTATAATACAGTCCTCTGCAGATTTGGATAGAAAATACATATACAGAGATGAGGACGGTAAGTTGGAGCGCGTAGCCGGACCTTTTAACACTTGTTACCTTGTTCTCCCGCGCCGGTGAGCTGGGGAGAGTGTTTTGCCTGCTTTATTTCCCCGCCGTCATTTGGGATCGATGGCAAGCTGTAAGATGATTCATTACTCTGAATAGATGACCTATCCCCACACTCTTCTGGAAGGGCCTCTCTCAACACTGGTAGAGCCTGCAGCATTAAAAAAATAAAAATAGCCGCAGCCCTATTATCCTTCATCTCGAGCGTTTTCCAACATACATTTAGGCTAATGTATACTTCATGTAATCTGTTTCCAGGGTGGTTTTGTTCGATGTTAAATTACCTCTGAGTTAAATCAGCGCTAGCTCAGGAATCGTGTTCTGCCTTGAAGTAACACAAACTTTGAATTATTCTTTGAATCACTAGGTTTGCTGGAAATTCTCTGTATTCCCTGCCTCACGCATTCAGGGTAAGCAAAACAGGACGGTGGATCAAATACGCTGCAGCAGCAACAGACCGAGAAGAACTCTCTCCCTCTCAGGCACGCAGCAAGGAGGCAGGTTAACCCGCAGCGTTAGCAATAGCTGCGCCTTAGCACACCACCCGTGGGCCCGACGCACAGCTTGCCCAAGCCAGCCTCAGCCAAGCGCAGGTCTGAGTTTAATCCGTGTTATTCCTGCGCGTTTGTAAAGTCTGCTCTCTCCTGCCTGTGCACGCAGCCCTCTGAGGCAGCGCTACTCAGACCTCCGTAGTTAAACCCATTTTTGACACAAAAAATTAAGCTGGAAGCCAGTTCCTTTATAGGGAGCTGAAGGTACTGTAAATATGGCCGAGTTAAAAGCAGGCTTAGAGTAGAGCAAGTGCTCCTTTGGTTACCATCCACCTGCGTTAGAAGTACTGCGTGTGGCTTTACAGCGCTCTGAGAGCAGGAGAAGTCATCCTTCCTGGCGTTTATTATCCCACGAAGAACAGCAAAGGCTTTTTGGGCATCCTTCCTATCTCTTCTTTACTCGTGGCGTGTTCCTTGTGGTTTTATTTTGTAACGCAAAATACGGGCTTGAGTCTAAGATCTACTAGATTTTTTGCTTTAATTATCTCATTGTGTAATAAAACAATAAGCCTTCAGCAATGAAGACCAACATCTCCAAGAATTCTAGGTTTTGTAACTTATTTTATATGTACTGACCTCAAGCCAACACATTTTGGACTCAGGAGAAATTTTATTCCACTGCATCTGCCCCCTCCTCATTAATCTGTATTTATTCAGAAGCCCAGAATGGCAACTTTTCAGTCTTAAGCAAACAGCTTGCTGAATTTTCTTCTATTAAACTTACATATGGGAAGTCTTCATACAAAACCAACGTGAGCAATGCGATGCTACTTCATCCAAAAAACAGTGATTTTAAGTCTCATTTTCTTGATGTAAAGAATGCCTTAAATTACAGGCAGGATTGGGAAATCTTTGCTGTTGAAAGAAATTAATTCCCACGCAGCAGTTCATCTCAGTGTCATTTCTCACACCAGGAGTACTTCGTTTACCTATTTGCAGTATCATTTAACATCCAAATAGGCATGCATGCACCACCACCAAATACAAGCAATCAACGTCAGCTCGAACATCGTTAATTAATCCAGGCAGAAGGAAGGTTCCCACCCAGAGAACCAAAGCTCGACGTTCAGTGTCACAGGCACCAAGGCAACAGTAAGACGTAAGAGAACAGAAGACAGACATAATCTGGCGATAAGCGAGGAGAAGACAGGCAGCTGGACAGACAGACTCTGCGGGCCACTGGCATGGGCGCAATGCTGAGGACGCTGGAGGAGAACCACCAGCGCTGATGGGGATGGACAGAGGGCTGTGGGCAGGGTGAGGAGCTCAAGCCCCCTCCTGCACCTTCACGCTGCTGCCTGGCTGTGCAGTACCACCCTCCAAAGGGGTTCCCGGCAGGTCTTATAGCCCGCGGAGAAGAAGTCATCAGCACGGCCCAAAAAAACCAAACTCTGGAGTTGTAAATGTTTAAGATCCTTAGGTGCAGATCGCTTGTGAGTTCACTGCTGCATTATATACATCGTTATGGTAAAGCAGCTAGTCCTGTACATGCATGTTGTGTAATTTATATTGATTCTGTTCTGTGCAACCTGCTCGGAGATAAGGTGTTTCAGAGTAGGGATGCATCCTGGCATTACATTTAATTGACTGGATCCACTTAATAGGTTACATAAGTGTTAAATGTATATGTGTGGGCCACAGTAACACATAGCAATAATCATTGCATATATTCAGCCATAAAGCTTGTGTTATTGAGCTTTGACTTTGTAAAAGATTTTACATGCAATTATAAATTTATGGACGGTGTTTGTTTATCTGTCACCAGCACAACGATATGCTCCTTGCTCATCTCTTCTACTTGACTGAATGCTTTCAGGACAGAATACAAATTACATTTTCTGAACGTGGATAAGAAGTTACCCTGGCCATAGCTCAAAGTGATCAACTGACTACAATATTACATCTTCATTGTTTCAAATGCTGTTAAAACTAGACTATAGCAAAACAGCTCAAACTGCTTTTTAATTTCGCATTATCAGAGATGGGAGCCCTGCCCTCCCCGCACGGCTGGCTGCTCTGGGTTTGTGACAAGAGAGGTCAAGGCACTTGCAGGTCTACCGAATGCCAACTTTTTTTTTTTGGAAAGAGTTAGTTTATAACCTTTTGCGTTAACATTTAAAGAAAATGAGCATGCTACTATTTGTAGAATGCTCTGCATATTCAGTGTACCAAACATAACTCTGTTTAAAAAAAAAATACATCATTCATGATAAAAAGCTACTAAGCCACAGAGAAAGACAGATGATATAAGCCTTGTGATAAATTTGCACCTCAGCAAGTGTGTGAGCTTGTTTAAATAAATAACTAGTTTGAAGGGTGGAAAACAGACAATCTCCTGGAGACCTTAGAGAGACTGTTTTCTTTGGGGGATGAAGTGCGGTATGTGTTTGCCCTGAAACTGCCAAAGAACTCGTATTCTCTCCTCACCCATCTCCTAACCATCTCCAAGGCTGATTAACGAACACAGATTGCTTGTCGTTCCCCTTAAAGCCCACACATTGGATTGCGTTAGCAGCACAGGGCCCATCTCATCTTAACCGTGCAAATTAGTCTCTAGGCATCATTAATTTAGATATTACATACAAGTGCCAACCTGGCTGTCCCGTGCCTTCTTGCTGGAAACCAGCAGCCTTTCAAACATCTCCGCCACTTCTTCCGTGAGCTGAACCTGGTGCTTTTTCAAGAACAAGGCATGGTTGCTCAAACAAGTCTGTAGCGTGTCCACGTCCCACTGCTGGTCTGGCCTGGGAAAGAAACACAAGTGCCATTAGTGGGACACCCCACGTACGCGACACTCACAGGTGCCGTGCTACTCCCTTCTCTGGACAAGTGAGTCAACATGCACTGGGAAAACCCACCACATTTTGTCCTTAGTCCCAACTTTTTCTTTTAAAAACATCCAAAGCGGAACACATAAGAAGTCATGAGTGACTTCTGCAAGTGTGGGGAGGATGGGCAAGGGTGATCGTCACCATGTCCGTCCCCTGGCTCCATCCTGAGACTCAGGGTCGGGAGACGTTAAACCTTTCTGCAGCCCCTAGTCTCAGCCTTGGACAGACCTCACTCAGTCCATCAGGCACTCTGCCGGGCACCCACTTCCCCAGGCTTGTCTTTTTTTTTCAGAATTCTTTTTATTATTTTTGAGCAGAAGGTGCCTTTTCCTTTAAAGCAGAAAATATAAATACTGCAATCTTGTTTGCCAAAGATGTTTGTTCTTCCAGTTGCTCCGATGAAGTTTCACAAACAGAGGAGTGAATTCCAATTAACTCAACAAGTGTTTGTCCCTAAGAAACCATTCAGGAAACACAACAACATATTAGTACTCGCAGGCACATCAGCCTCGAAAGGAGAACCAGGTATAGTCAAATAGACCATTCTTCAGCGCTCACAAGTGCCCTGGTCCTGCTAACACTTGAGCATCGCTGAGCCTGTAACAGGGAGGAAGGTCTAGACAGGTGCCAAGAAAGAAAGGAAATTGTTTTCATTACTGTATTAAAGAGATCTAAAAAAAAAAATAATAAAAAAGCAATTCTCACTCGTCCTTGTGCCATACGCATAGGAGAGAGAAAAAAAACAAACACATTTTGAGTAATGGCATTTTCTTGTTTTTAAAGGCTGTATGCATCTTCTGCTTCACAGAAAAATAATTTGCTTCTCAAAATGACATTCCCCATCCTTAAATGCCCGAGACTCATGTTGAAGATCACAAATTACTGGCTAAGAGGTCTCTGAAGTTAATACATTTCCTTCCCTGCCGAAGCAGGCTGGGGTGGGAGATGCTGCGGACTGGCAAGATGGGGGGACCCAGCCCAAGTGCTGCCCAGCAGAATAAGATTCACCATCAGTGAATGAAAAGGAAAATAAATGAATTTGCTTAATGTTCTCATTTCGAGTCACACGGCTGCTGCCAAGGTGCGTAAAGATCAGCACTCAGATGTCTCTATTTTGCAGTGCAATGGAGCTCTGGCCCCAGGTCTGCTTTCTCTGCACCAGAGAGGCAGAGCAGACTTGAGGAGGAAAGAAAAGAACGTTAATCACACACAAGTTTTGCGTCTGCGATACCTGGTTTGCTTTTCATCCACCGCTCTACCTTTAACATCGAGTGTTTTCTCAGGTAGGAGGCATCCATTCAGCATGCTCTGTAACAAAGCCCGAAGCTGATGAAGGACGACTGCTTCGCATGCTTCAAGGTCGTCTTCTTTCAGACTGCCGGCCCGATTACAAAAGCTACAAAATAAAGCAGGTATTACATGCAATGTTTATTTAAAGCCCAGATAGCCAGCATTGGTTTGGAGGCAGAATCTGTAACACTCCTCCTGGCTAAGGGGATAACTGGTGAGACAGCCAAGAGGGACAAACATCCCTGATGCTCTCTGCGAAAGATGCAGAGCAGGACAGTGAGGTCAAACCCAGCACTCTGAAAATGCCAGGTTTAATCTCACACCTTTGCTTTGTGACAGCAGAGAGGAACCTGTGCATGTCTGCTCGGTGAAATCGTTTCCTGGCCGTGCCGTGGCTAAAGCAGTTCTGTTGCAGGAACCCACCTCCAACAGTGGGCTAGAGGGGCCAGGTCGGTTTGGCAACCCTTCCTCCTAACCCCCTAGAAATCCTCTAACCATCAAGTGCTTAGAGAACCCTAGTTTATGGAGGCTGACACATAATTTTAAATAAAATTGCAAAGCCATTCCCAGTTCTTGTAATTAAGAGCCCATGCTGCAGAGGGACAGTGAGGGCTCTCTGACCCTGGTTTTGTTAACACGTGGGGTTTGGTGATTCTCTTTGCTCTTTTACCTCAAAGAAGAGGTGATTTTTCTGGTTATTGTTTTCTACCTTGGTAAATCACATTAGCATTACCAGCTAAGGGGATGCTCTCATTCTTGGAAATAAGTATTTACTTCACCTAAGGGATCTGTGGAGCAAGGCTGCAAAAAGTGCTGCGTTTAGGAAAGAGTATTTGTTGGAGTAATTTGCGTATGCGCTTCTAAAGTGCCATATTTCAGCTCTCTGATGACATTAAAACAGTGGAAAGGGAGGGAGGCCTCTTAGCAACTGGCAATGTTTGTTTGCAGGAGCCTGCTTGTTCTTTGCGCTGGCCATTTGTCACCGCAAGAGCGAGGACCCCAGCTCAAATCTCAACAGGCTCCTGCAAAGCTGCTCGGTAACAGCCTCTCGCCGTTGCTCACCTGAATTCAATTAGAAGCGTGTAAGCAATCAACAACAGAATTATTACAAGCCTTACATTGGATGCACGGCAGCAAGGAAGCGAGAAGACAGGGGATGGGGTTAAGGCGCAGGCAGCACTGCTCTCCTCCGAGAGGGGAGGTGGCCGGCAGGGAAGCAGCATTAACCTGAGCAGCTCCGCCGTGCCCATCGTCCCCGCGTGCTCGCCCTGGTACAGCGCCCGGTGCCGGGGGCTCCTCCTCACCACCGCCTCTTCTATCAACTGCAGCGCACGGGAGAGTCCCGCCAGCGTCCCGCCGTGCCTGCGGACAGACAGCGAACAGGGTGTGAAGCAACTCAAGTTGTGACAGTATTTTAAATGCATTCCCATCACACCAGCTGGAAAAATAAGCACCCTCAGTTTAGCTTTTCAAAGCAAACAACAGCAAAAACCACATTGCTTGAGCTCTGTAGGAAGAAAAAAAGCCCAACAAAACAACACACATGAGCAAACAAACCATCCAAAAATCAGCCGGGGCCTGAGACGCTGCATTGAAATTACCCCTGCGCCGAGTAGTTTAATTCCTTCACCTCCACAATCGAAATAAATCTGGTGACCACCTACAGGTACAGGGACATAACTGGGACCTCAGAGGGGTTTTGATGAAGCTGCACCTCTATAATGATGCAAATTAGGACTTAAAACATTGAAACAATACAGCAGGCTAATCCTCGAACAGAGGTGTAAATGGCTATTCAGGTCCAGGCCGGCTGCCGGCTTTGTTGGGGACTTTCCAGGCCAGGTCTGCACCAGCAATGCCCCAGCTGGGCCTGTGCCCGCAGACCCCCACAGGCAACATAAAGATTATTTTTCTTCCCCCCCGTATGTAGAGGCTGGCATATTTATACAGTTAACCTTGGTTCAAGCTCCCTCGAGTGAAAAGCCCTGGGCATGAAAACTTGCATCGCATTAAGCTGTACCGAAAGTTGTGTTTTCCACTGGACTGTTGGGCAACAGTGAACAATTAAGTGGGAGCTGCCGTGCATTTAGTCGAGTTTCCTAGACATTTAATAAGCAAAACAATACCAGGGAGATCACATATGCAGTTAAACAGCGCTTTTTCTTTTCCCCCAGTCTTACAAACCCTGTATTTTAGCAGCCGGCTCGTTTCCCATTGTTTTCCTCCCGCTGGGTGGTCCTTCCAGGGTGCCACTCGAGAGGGATACAATAATAAAAAGGGAAGGGGAAGGAAGGGACAGCAACATAAAGAAAAACAAAATGTATGACAATCTGCAGCAGGCTACGGATCAGAGGTCAGCAAACAAGAGGTCCTTCTCTTTTACAGGTTGCTTCCTGGAAACAGTCTGATTAAGCTGACAGCTTGAATTATGTGTTACATTTTGTAATGCACAATCCATCTGTGCTAAGTCCTCTTCAATGCAGCTGAAGCAGCACAGGCATAAGCTCTGCCTTTTTCCACCCCCTCAGCACAGGCCTTAAAATAGTCATCATCTTTCTCTGCGCTAATTCTCAGAGACCCGCTCCCCCCGCCACTCCCTGGGTTTAAGCCCTTGAAGAAAAGGCCGGGTGCTGTAAGGAATGGTAAGAGGATACAGAGCCTTCCACCTCCGGTTCAGCCGCTCAGACCGGCAACAAGCGGCCGAGGGCCAGAGCCGTCGGGTGGGGAATCGGGTCCCTTTTCGGCGCTACTCGAACAAGGCAGGCGAGCCTCCCGCTCACCAGCGGGCTCCTGGGCGGCAGACCTGACCGGAAAAATGCACGGATTGGGCTCTCGCACAGGTCCGAGCTAGCGGGACAAGTCTGAAGAGGTGCGTGTACAGCCTCTGATCACCGCACCCGCTTCGCAGTGCTTGGAAACACAAAAAATCGTGTTTTTTTTACCAAAAATCATGTTTTTTTAATAGCTAAGGTAGCAAAATTGCAGCACCCTCCTGTGAACTGCAACCAAGGCACATACCTTCTGCTAAATAACCTTTCATAACAGTAACACCTTTATTCTGTTAACAACGATGTTATCATGACAACCATTCTTCTAGCTGGAGAAGGCAGTCTGCAACTCACCCAGAGGTAAAATACGACCAGCAAACACTGCATGGGAAAAAACCCAAAACTTTTTTTTTTTTAAAAAGAGAATGGTATCTCTGCAGTAAGGTAGGAAAAGTATCTTCTCTAAAAAACATAAACTTATGACTTCCTGACATGCAACAAGAAGTTTGTTTCGCATCTCGAGTTAAGCTGTGGCCTCTGCACGCGAGAGCGCCTTTCAACTCCGTCACTTGCACTGATTTCAAATAATACACCAAAAGCGGACGAATGGCCCAAAGACAACAGCGGAGGGAACGGCTCTTCGTTCGGATGCCACAGCAGCAACACTGCTGCATTGGGAAAGTCCAAGCTACAGACATGTCAATTTAAGAGAACACGTATGCATAGTTTTGCATAATTTCTGCGTATTTCTTCAGCCAGCGTAGGAATTTCATAGAGAAACACATGGACTGAAGGGACATCACAAGACCTGTGATATTATTCATTTTGTGAGTCTGTGGCATGATACATTCAGACCAAAAAAAGTTGCGTTCTCATAGTTTAACTTATGTAATTTAAATTTGTGTACTAATAACTTGGAAACTTTCCCCAAGATTTTTAATTTTATGAATTATTTTGCAAGACTCGAGCACGCACGCTGAATTTCACGTGCATGGGCAAGATGGACTTGGAACATCCCCTTGGTTATAAGCGCAACAAGGGAAAGGTTGCTGAGCCCGCCACGAGCTCTCCCATGCCTGCCATTTTTGAAATTCTATCTGCATTTTAGTTTTCAGGTGAAACAAATTCAAATTTGTATCTTTTCTGCAGAAACAGCTAACAGTTGCAATCCCACTTCCACGGCCTTGAGAAACAGCAGTATTCAGCTTGGCATAATGCAAGAGGAAGCCTCTGCATTCTGGTTTCAGTCGTGCTCCAGAGATAATGCAAGCAGTGAAACCTTTCGTATAATTTAGCTGGGCTTCAAGAGCCTTGCACAATATTTTCATCAGTTTATGAACAGCGAGGCATCACTAGCGTCGACAGGGAGAGAACAAAAGGTTAAATTACCGTCGCTCAGCTCTGACTTCCCCAGCAAAGGCAGGCACTCTGTGCAACTTCCCTACAAAGTGTTATGATTAACAGGTGTTATACAAAAGAAAAACCGGGTAAAAGCTATTTAGATGTAAATTAGATGATGTTTCCATAGCAAGCAACAGTCTGATGCAAACGTGAAATGATAAAGTTACAGAAGTGTATATTGATGGCCACTAGTTTCTGCTCAACTGTCATCTATTAAAATACAAACTAATATTGAAATCAGTACCCAAGACAACATGACCACAAATGTAGGAAGAATAGATGCAATACGCAGATTAAAAAGCTGCAAACAGCTGAAAAGGAAAAAAACCCAACCGACAAATGCGTACTCCTTGTTCTCCAGGGGTAAAAACGCTGCTTTCTTTCGTTCATGGTCTCTCCCCAATGCACAGTCACCACCTTGTATGTGGTTAAACTACTCCAGCTAGGAGCTTTTTGCACACGCATAGTGCCCACACAAGGTAGGGAGACTCAAGGGGAGCAGCACCTGCTGCAATACAGCACGTGCCCACAGAAAAGGCTTTCTTCAATATTTCTGTTGTGACTGGGGGCAGGAAAATGCTGGTGAGGAGGGAGGAGGGTGTTGAGGATGCAGAGGACGAGGGAACAGAAGCGTGCTGCTAAGGGAGAGCAGGCAGGAGAGAGGCAGCAGTCAAGGGCACAAAACCGTGGGGTCAGGCAGCAGTAGATGGCCAAGGTGAAGGGGGATGTGGACATGAAGTGCTGCAGAGGGAAGTGGCAGCAAACGGCCTTTCAGAAGTAAGAGACAGGAGATGAAGGCGGGAGGGATGCTCCTGCAGCAGCAAGGCACCACGAGGTGGGGACCCGGGAAGGGACGACAGCAGTTGGCAGAGGGCTGTTCGAACACAGCAAGGGAACGAAGCCAGCCCTCCCACGCGACCCTGGCAAGCCCTATGGCCCATCTCCTAGTGGGTATTGTCCGTCCGGATGGGGAGGTGCCTCCCTGTCCTACAAGGGTGTTGCAAGGCCAAAAATCCAGCTGTGATATTACAGCTGATACTCTGGAATTGCAGTTGTTATTGGCACTAAAACCCCACCACTTTCACGCAGTAGCGGAGGACAAGCCGTGCATGTGTGTCACGCTTTCCTCATTCCTTCTCTTGTTCTCTCTCAGCTATTTCCAAACAAGATGCTCAACAAATTTAGCAAACTGGAAATTTTAATCCACACAAAATATGTCATTTAGTAAACGATAAGTACTATTATATAAACTTGTTGAAAGAAGATTTGTGTAGATTTACAGAACATCTATTGCATTTTAACAACAAACATACTTAACTTGTCTACGCCTGACCCGAACAAGTTACCTGAAGCCATTTAACCACTAGCACAGAGGCGGGCAGATACTAAATAAATAGGTAAGAAGTTTGCCCACCTGCATGCAAGCTTTAGTGCCCGGTATCTGCCAAGCTGTGAAACCAGCCTCCAGGGCACACGGTAACAAATGAGTACAGGGAGAGAGAAAACACGTAAGGACTTACCTGTCTAGTGCTGAGCTGACCGAGGGCTCCTCCTGCACCACGGGAGGGTTCGATGGTTGCAGCGGGGAGTCCTCTGCAGCAGGGGCATCCCTGCCCCGCTCCCAGCTGGTCACTGGCAAAGCCGCACCCTGCAGCACACCAGGAGCGCTCAGCATCACCTCCTCGGCGCTCGCAGGCACGGAGAGCTCCACACTGCTCTCCCAGCTCGCCTCCTTACGAGTACACCAGTTACTTGGGCGAGGCTTTGGTCCTGAAAAAAGTAGTAATAAAAAATTATTCCCAAACATCACAGCATAGGGAATTAAACTAAGATTACCTAGGCTGTTTGTTCACCTCTCACTTCACACGTGTGAACGAGCACCCCTTTGCTCTTTCTTCACTTTGGGTTTCCCTGCCCATGGCCCCGTGTCCTTCCGCACTCCTCTCGCAAGGGGGAGTCCGGAGAGGCTCCAGCCTCCACGCTCAGGCCTTTTGGGTTCGCAGCTCCCAGCGGGCAGGAGGCAAACCTGGCACTCCTCAAAAACCATCACCAGCGTGAAGACCAGCTGCTTCGCTAAACTGTCTCCGGAGGACCGATGAAACAGAAAAGCTGGAAAAAGCTTTTCTTAAGGGGAAAAAAGTGCACCTGAAAAGGCTACTATTGTACACAGTTTTAAACCTTGCAGAAAAAATACATACATGGAGGTTTTTAAACGCTGCATGTTAATTGCCTTCTCTAAAAAGAGGAGGGTACAGGGCTGCATCATGCTTCTAAGACAACAGATACATGCTACTTACCTTTTTACAGAATGCCAAAAGTTAATGGATCAGCTAGTGCTGTAACAAATTAGTATTGCTACAGAAATTCTCAGTTTTCCATAAAATTCACCATGGGTTTAAATTAACCAGCATTCACACACCTGCTGACACTACAGCACCCAGCATTTCTGCTTGTCTTGGTCATGGAGTTTCACTGGAACTGAATCACTTACGGTTTATGCCAAACAGTAGCTGGTGCCAGGACGGGCTCTCAGCCTTGTTCCCAAATTTGTGAAGCAAGTATATGCAACAGAAATATGTCTCCATCTCCTGGGAAATGAGGATGGAGAGGAACAGTTTTTTCCTCTCCAGTTTGGGTAGTGGGGGAGAAAGGGGCCATTTTCTTACTTTGTTAACCTGGGAGAAATGGGATTTGTTCCTCCCTGCGTTTTGTGACTGCCACTTGGCAGCGGCAGCAGGAGAGGCTGGCGAGTGCTGCCATGCACCACACCAGCAGATCCTGGTGTGTGCTCGCTCCTGGCATGGCACAGGCAAGCGTCTTCATCAGCTCCCATCATTTGCACCGCGGAAGGTCAAGCTTAAGAGAGCTGGAACAAGCCAGGCCCCTCCACACATTCAAACCTGGACCGCATTAGCCCATTTACTTCACGACACGCATTTGGCAGCAGACAGACATAAAAATCCCCCCAGGCGGTCCGAGGTGATTACCGTGCCGTTTGACAAAAAGCTCATTTTGATTTTGAACCCAACTGTATGGTTTCTCTGAAGGCAGAGATACTGCATTCCAGAAATTAAATGGGTATTTCTTTCCCAGACACGATGCTGGCCACGTCAGCCTTCCCCGTGGAGGGGAACTGGCGCTCTGCAGCGCCGCAGGCAGAGCCCAGGGCTAATGTAAGCCAGGCTGGGCTGGTCTCCTTCCATCGCAGCACGGACAGGCTTTTATTAAAATGGAGAAGTGGCAAATGCATCAGATGAAAGAAAATGAGAGGCAAATAAATTCCTTAGAGAAAGAAAAAGGAATGGGAAAAAAAACCTCAAGAAAGAGGATGCCAGAAAGACCCCAAGGAGGAGTACAGAAGAGCATCTGATGGGGATGCCAGCTTTCCTCTATAAAGCAGCTCATCATCGTTACAAGAGAGGAGTCCCTGCATCATTAGGGTTGCCATCAGTTTCCATTATAAATAGCTCCAATTTAACAATTGTTACGGGGCTTGGAAAACTAGTTTAAGTTGAAAACTGCTATGTTAACTGGCAAGGCAGGGGAAAGTGATTCTGCGAAGTCTTAAAAAAAAAAGGAATAAATTGTTACTTAGCGACAAATCTTTGTCACTGACTTCAAAAACAAGTCCATTAGCTTGCTTCAAAGTAACCGACCAAGCCAGTAAAATGGGAGAGAATACATTTTGCCAAGATGGGGGGGGAAAAAAGAGAAAAAAACCCCACGAATGAGAAGCTGGAACACAGCCTTTGAGGGCAGCACATCTCGTCCCTGAGCAAGAGCATCTCGGCTGGGAGGGTCTGCACCGCCTTTCTCAGGCAAGTCCAGAACAAAGCAGAGAACCACCACCAAGTAGGAGTTAATCCAGCCACATACGGGTCATACTGATCCTCAGCCCACATTGCCAAATACCGTGTTTGGAAACAGATGAGCTATTGTGCACAAGTGTCTGAGGGAGGAGGAAATCAACCTGAAACACAAGTGACATACTCTTCCAGTGAAGTAGGGTCACATTAAACCTCTTAAAACGAGATTCAGACCACAAGACAACTGTAGGCACAGCAGTGAAGAAATCTTCACTTTCTAATAGCGAATCTGAGTAGGATCAGCCCCCAGCAAACCCTTGCCTGTCCACATGAGCGGCCTGGGAGAAAATGGAATCAAAAGAAAAAAAAAAAAAAGAAGAGTAAAGATGCGTGCTACCATGCTTCAACCACAGTGCAACAGGCGTAGGAGAAGCCAGCAGCTGTGGGCTGCTGCTCTGGTTGGGATGAGCAAGCCCCAGGGCTGGGCAGGGGGAGACAGGCACACATCCACCATACCTGGGACACTTCCCCGTGGCTGCTGCTCCTCAGGGTCGGCTGGTTTGGGATCTGATGCTGAGGAGATGAGCTGCTGGGAGTCTTCCTCACTGGCAGCCAGGTCCCCCTGTCTCGCTGCTCCCTCCTCTGATGCATCACTCTCTAAATCAGCGCTTCTGCTCTCTGGACCAAGGCCTTCAAGTGACTGAGAGCACGAAGGCAGGTCAGGCACCGAGCAGGTCTCTGTAGGCTGGGGGGGTTTCTGCTGCATGCCCACATCTCCGGCAGCTGAGACAGCCGACGTGTGGTGGCCCATGAAGACTGTTGCTGGATGATACAGTTCCCTTGGCATGGCTGTCTTGGTGCTGATTCCAGCCTGTCTTCCAACCCACAGCATCTGAAAAACACAGGAGAGAGATGGCTTAAGGAAACAAACAGGTAGCGTGTTGCAAATTGAGCTTCTAGAGGATGGCATGTTGATTTCTGGAGAGAAGAGTGTCACAGAATTCAAGTATTTTCTATAGCATTATTATTATTACACAAGCACTTGGCACACATTTCTTGCGTCCTAGTATGACAATGAGGGCCCAGACCTCAACTGAAGCTCCGTGAGACAAAACAACTGGTGGCAAAAACGGACTGCACCCCCAACCTGGCTGAAAGGGACTGAGATACACAAAGCACTCAAACTAATCTAAATCATAACTAGTTTTTACAGACAGGCAAACCTTTACAATTAGATTCCTGCAAAGGCTTTTAAGATCCTGGACCAAAGCACAACATTGAAAGCTACCCACTAAAGTCAATGAAAATGCCTCGAAGTTACTGACTCTAGAGGAACGACTGTGCTCTAGTTGTGCAGAGCCGCTGGTAGCCTGTGGTTTAGGTACACGGCACCCCGAAGCCAAGACACAATCAGTAGGAGCCTGCGGCAGTGTCCGTGGCACAGCTGGCCTTTCTGGAGCCACCCACAGCACCTGCTCTGAGCAATCTCCTCCTGCCACTGGTCTTCTCTAGAAGGCAACAGGGTGAGGAAAGGTCCCCAGAGAGTCTGAAACCTACATCTGCCATCGCTTACTCGTCTATATATCCAGCTTCGCTCACAGCATGTCAACAAAGCAAATACGAATGAGGCAAAAATCACTGTATCCATTGTCTTCCTTCTGCTTTCCTGCCTGTTAAATCACACCAAAGAGGAAGAACGACTGCTCAGCTAACACCACGCAGATGAAATTGCATTTTCCACAAGGCAACTTTGGGCACCCAGCAGAAACATTTTAAATGGCACCTTCCTCCAAGAACTGTTGAACTTGCATAAAAATAGTGCCAACAGTATAACCGCTCTGCTTCCAAATCCCAGTGTTTTAATACTTGCCTTTTTTTCTTTGTAAGCCTTCTCAATCAGAACAATTTGGGAGGAGTGGCTACTGCCACCACTACTACTAAAAGGTCACCGCCAGTTTATGCAAAGCCAAAATTAGCTGTCGTAATACCATTGTTCATACTACGCAGGGCTTACTTTTCAGTCCCAAATCACAGCAGGACAATTTACAGTCACCTCCACACCTCTCTCCTCTCTTTCATTGCCTGACCTCTTCCTACCACACAAAGTCAGCTGCCAAACCCAGCTTAAAGGAAACAAAGGCATCTTGTCTAGTCTGTGACCAAGTTTCATTAAAAAAGCTCAAATTCCACGTAACAAGAAGCAGAACAAAAAGCCATGAAGTTATTTTAAGAAGTAAAGGTTTGCTACTCAGATTAAGTTCACAGCTTATTCCGTCACCACTGCTCTTGGGTTCCTCCTAATTACTTTTCGGGTCTTGGATTTGCTGTTTTAAAATGCATCTACCAAGTACTTTATGGATTTAGCAGCTCCTGGATGTAGTGTTCCAAAACAAATGCAATTCAAACAGGTACAAGTGCTTGGCAGACTCATAGCAGACGCACATCTCTAACAGGCTCCTCTTTGTAGGGAAAAAAAAAAGAATCTCTTCACTTCCTTTACGTTCTCAAAGCAAAATTGTGACAGGTAACATTGGTCTAGGTACTGTTTTTACCACCAAAACAGTAAAAACATGTAGGTGACCTACCTAAAACAGTCAACAAAATTACTGAACTTGACATCACTCCAGCTGGGAGTTTAATGAAGTCTCCGCACAAAGCATACTTACAATCCTCTTTCTGGTTGTGGAGTGCAGGCTCCCCACTTCTTCCTTCAGTTACAAATACAATCTTTTTTTATTATCATTTAAGTGTTTTGAAGAGAACAGAGATAAGAAAAAAAAATCCCTTCTGTTAGGACTTACAAATGGCCCAGTCTCCCCCGGCAGTAGACGGCCACGTGAAAGCTAGGGAGGGGAAGTGCAGCTAGCCAGGCATCACTCTCACCTGGTGACACCTCCTTTCCCAGGGAAGGATGTTCTGCCACCCACATAGGTGCCCGATGCCCTGCGTCCCACAGACACGGCAGTGCCAAGATGCACAAGTCCAAAATCTTCAAAAGACTTCAAGAAAGTGCTTCGAAGTTGAAGCAGCCAGACTTCATTGCACAAAGGTTTCAGAAGCCCAGGTTATACAGCTCTGCCAGCTGAGGACCTCTCCTCCAACTTGTAACACCGGACTGCCACTACACTGGGCTTCAAAAGACTGCTACTCAAGTCCTTTCCATGGAGAATCAGGGTTTTCTAGACAAACATTGTTCGGGTATATGATTTCTAAGCCAAAGGACTCCCATAAAAATTGAGAGTCCGAAAGGATGCACATCTCACTGCTGAGAAGTACCAGACATTCACAGTGCTGGTTTAGGGGCACTGGGACACTGACCATCTCTAGAAGATTGGCTCTGTGATTGTCGTCCTTGGTCTCCAAGACACATCCCTGACAAGCTTATCACACGATCCCTGCCATCCTGACTGGCCTAAAGGAAACCATTACAATACCAGTGCTGGTACATAAACCCAAGTTTTATTTACAGTTCCAAGCTGTGCTGATTTGCACCTTGGACATACCACCTGCTAACTGCATGTGCTCACTATGACCAACTCGGTGCTACATCGCTGAGAACAAACTCCCGTATTTTGGACATAAGAATAAGCAGATTTTAAGCTAAGTGAAGGTGGTGGGAAACAGGCACAGTCTGAAAAAAATAGAGTTACAGAGTATGATCTGAAACACAGTACATAGACAAGGCAGTCCACAATCAAGCTATGAACTGTAATCGAATGTCAAGTGACATATTTGGGTACGCACCAAGTTCTTGTACTGTCCAAAACCTACTAACAGTTTTAAAAAAAATGTAAAGTCATGCCGTGAGCCTTTGATGTTCTAGTATTTATGTAAACTTTTCCATAGGTTAGAAATCATGTCTCCTACACAGACTGCTTATAACTGAAGAATCTAGCATTCAAAAATGAACTCACCTTTTCACATACGTCTGAATTAAAAAAACGTAATTCGCAAACTGCTGGAGGCCTGCTTATATAGGTCAAGGTTGCTCGGGTTCACTGCTTTGTATATTACAGTTTAAAGAATGCTCTAAATTCAAGGTTTTTAACTTTTTAATCTATGGGGAAAACTTCCTATAAACTCAGATTAACGACTGCTAATGCACTGAAGAAAGAAAACCAAAAACCTTCCTCCTACTATAAAAACAAAATAGTGTGGCCTCTGTTTCTTTTCTGATAAGAGTCTTAAATACCAAACATTTAACTGCATAATAACATTTACTGGCAGCCAGGCAGCCTGCTTAGCAGATATATAAAGCAGGTAAAAGGAGAAAAAGTTAATTTCTTGGCTGAATGATTCCATCGGTAGCTATAGGGCAAACTAGAAAGTCTTTTAGTAAAGTAGCAGTTGATTCTTCTATCAATCTGCAGCACACATACTCTTCCAAGGAATGCATTAAATATGAAAATCATATCCCGTTATCATCTGTTTCCAGCTTTCAGCCCAGTAAGCTTTTCTTAATGAATGCTGTAGCCTAAGGGACAAGCATGCTGTTGGCTTTTCTGAATAATGGAGTGATGCTACCATTTTTGCTTATTACAATATCGACTAGCTGAGGGGGTTTCACACATAGTCACAAGTGACTACTCTTGCCAGCATGCTCCAAGTTATTACAAGATGTTTTTAGACATTTCATCTAAAAGAGCTTTACTGCTTTTAGTGAAGAAAACAGCTATGGTCTTGAACTGTATCATTTATATGGAGATAGGAGGAGGGATTAGAAGCCTGCATTACTGCAGATATATAGCAGAATATATTTAAGTATTCCTTGTCAGTCTTTTTGTCTGTTACTTAGATATGCAATCTCTTTTTGCTTCTTCTAAGAAAAGGTCAAAATGCACAAAATTATAAATACACCGTATGAATCGACTGCTGCATTTTTAAAAATATCATTCATTAAGAATATTTCCTCCTCGGTCAAGACCATTTTCACTCTATTCGGCATAGGAATTATAAAAACCAACGCGAAGATGAACATAAACAGCTCGAGTTCCCTCCTCCCTTTTTAATTCTAGTTCTGTGGTTGAAATAATTGCACTTTTTACCCAGGTTATTCTACTGCACTCAGGCACTAAACAATATTTCACACTACAAATGCCGCAACAGAACTCCTCATGCAAAGACTGCTTCGCAACGCCTGCCTCTTCCTGCAGCAGCTCGGAGGGAAGCACATCAGTGTAATAAAACACATTCCCCCCCGCTTCTTTCGCATTACCTGCTCCTTGTATTCTTCTTCCTTGTCACCTTCTGCTGACAAGTTACCCTCTTGAAGTGATAACAGACTTTTAATTTCTCTTCCGTACCATGCCTAAATGTGAACAAATCCATTACATAAAATTGAAGGCCAAAAAAACCCCACCACAAATCAACAAATATTACTTTGTAAATTGTGCACTTTTAAATGTTATATCCTAGCAGCATTTTTTTTTTACTTGGACTATATTTAAAGAGCCAGAGATCCCATTTTCTCCTAATTTTTCCCCACTTCCCTGAACAAATGATGTTGCCTATACAGAATCTTCTGCAGGTTTTTAATATGCATTTATTCATTCACGTAATTGAGAATCCTACAAAACAGTAATAACTTGTTGACTCAAATTTATTTCATCCCAACTAGTGTCCGTAATGCCAAATTATTTCTGCTGCATCCAGACAGTGACTCCGCCGCTTTGGGATGAAATGAGCTTTAGAATTTGTTTTTGTTTTACATACATCATCTTACAACTCACTGAGCTATTATAAGGAAAAATACATGGCAGATGTTATAAAGAGCAACCCAGCATGAAAGGCAACTTGCTGCAGTGTTACCAAAACAACTGCATAAACCGTCTTCACCTCCACTACATTGTTTAATTGACCAAATGTAATGTATTCGTAGGAGGACTACTGCTTAAAAGCCAAGCACATGCAGCACCTATAATTAATCCTGTTTGTTAGTAATTGTAAACCCCAATAACAAGTTACATCGGCCCTGAATGAAAGCACTTCAATACCTATTCTGCATCAGGTAATATGCATGAAAATAAATCTTTAAAACAATTAACTTAACCAGCTCTGCACTTCACTCCAATGGTGCATTCAGCAAGCCTGCTATTGCCCAGGTAATAGACGCTGTTCGTAAAACTGTAAACATGAAATTTTACGAAATAAAACCTAACCATGTGAGAATTAAAAAGCCTCAAAATAAACTCAAACACAACAACCAGATCTTCCTGAAAGCTTAAGTGAATTTACTTGGACTCCCAAAAATTACTGAACAAATTGCAGACACACACAGGAAAAAAAAAGTGAATCTTTCAGAAATAAAAGAAGTTTTGTCAGTTACAACCACATAATAAACTGTGCACATAGTTATGATAAAGCACTCCTAAAGGCCATTCTCCCCCTATGAAAAAAAAGAGAAAATAGTAATAATTTCTTTCTGTGTACTTCCATGATAGATTAAATGATTACATGCTCCATAATTCTTACGCAATCCACAACAAGGGGGCTTTTCATAACTGTAACTTAGAGGATATGTACTCTGTGCTTTGTTCAACAGCTCAGAAAATAAGTCTAACCTGGCAAAAATAAAATGGATGGCCCAGAAACATCAAAATGGAAGCAATGAACAGAAACCCTGTGTGCAGACCAACCCATGGCACAATTGGGACTCACGCCAGTATGTTTAACAACCTACCACTAGTCAAACTGGTGTGCATTGGGATTGCTCAGAAAAAAAAATCCTTAAAAACAACAGGGGAAACCTAGCATTGCACCACACTCCCTGGTCCTGCTCTGCTTTAAATAAAAATAAAAAAAATAGAAGAAAAGGGTGCTACTGCACTTTCACATTTTCTGGACGCAGGCATTTTAGACACTCCTTTTAAGAGGATCACAGTCTGTGTCTCACTGTCTCGGATCAAGCTGCGTGTGCCCCTGAACAGAAGGGAGAGGGAGGAACACAGTACATTGTTCCTGTTTTAACTCAAACTGCATTTCAGAGAAATAAAGCCCAGTCACACCTGAGTTCCAGACAGCCACATAAACCTAAGTTGCGTCAATACCACATCACAGGGGCTTAAAACGCCTCAACTAATTTGTCTCCTTCCCTCCTTCCTTCCAACAAGTTACAAAAGGAGAGTGGCAGAGGGACAGAAGTAGCCCCTACCCAATATTTCTGAAGAACGCTACTGCTCTTAGAAAGCAGATCTAAACACACTTCCCTCCCAGTTTTTACCCCCCCCACATCTGATTCCATGTACTGGTGGCATGAGCATGTCACAATTTTATCTTTAAAAAATCTGAGATCATTACCAGTCCATCACTTTGGAACATCCCAAACAGTTCTTCAGTGAGTTGCAAGACAACATATTAATAATACGATTCAAAAAAAATCCTCAAAGCTTGGCTGTTTCTTACAGTAGCCTATTAAATTGAAAGTACTTCAGTAATGAGTTCTAGTAAAAAATCCTGTCTATTATATAACCTTAAATATGGATCCTCATCAAGTTTGTTTCAAACATTAAGACATGCAGAAGTCTCTCCACTACTATAGAAGAGTTTCGTCCTATTTCTGCACTAATTATTAAAAAAGCAACACTAATTCAACCTACAAATAGCATTACTGATACATAAGGAAAAGCCTAAAGCCATTTACCCCAATAGGACTAAACAGGAAAAGCAAAAAAGTCTGCTCACATTTGCAAATGAGGGTCTGAAAGACTGGAAAATTAAGAGAATCTCAAATTTTACTTCAGTGTGAAAAAATCATGACAGCAATTCAGGCCTAGTGGTAACTGATCTTTTTATCTCAATACAATGAAATGATAATAAATGCTACTTTTACTTCCACAACTTTTTTTCCCCCTGCCATACCATTTTAAGATATTAAGGTAGATTGACTACACGTGGGAGGTACAGAAATCCCCATTTCATTAACAGCTCTAGTCATCATGAGGAAAGAGATTCCAGTAGGGGCTTGCCAGAAGACAAACACTTTTCTCCCAAAAGAAAACACCGCAGAGTCAAGCTGACTTGTTGTTGAATGGTCAACTCTGCGTTGAATGGTTGCTTTCATTTGTCCTCATGAGAGCTTTGACTCCTTTTAAAATGTTTTCTACCTGTTGCGGTAATTTTTAAGAAATTAGTCACTTAAAACCAGAACAGGCACGTATGAGTTCGACAGCCTCTTTCATAAGGATAATTCATCCCAGCACAAGTTCTCAAATCGATGACATTCAGTGAAGCTAGTAACAAGACCCCTTTTGCAAACGTAGACCTTTGAGCTGACAGCAGTCAAGGTTACAAGTGGACAAAAAGAAAAGCACCACGTTTGCAGTCATCTTTGATAACAAAGGTGCCACAAGGACAGCAAGAAATGTGTTCTATTGGGTATTGGCTCTTTTGAAGTCATCATTTGGCTCTACCACACTCCTACCGTGTCAGTTATGATACACAAGTGAAGTCTACAAGGTGATGAAACACTCCTCGGGCTTTGCTTTACCAGCCCAGAAGGAAAATTCAAGTTCCAACTCTGAAGGCACACGAATCAAATCTCTGAGTACAAGCAAAAACATTACCAAAAGCAAAGATCCGAGTGATGCAATGGGATACTGGAAGAAGTAGGTTTTTCTCTTATCACCGTTTGCTAGTTGACTGTTTAGTAATACAAAGAATGACCTCATTTTAGCTCAGCTTTGGTCCAGATAGTTCAAACAATAATCTGTTGTAACGCAAGTTATTTACTCTTAAACTTCCTCTGCTGCTGAAGACAGAGCAATAAGCAGGGGCCAGACTAATGATGGCTATTTCGGGTGTTCACACCAGCCAAATTAAGAATATGAAATATATGTGGGTACTTTTAAGTAATAAAAGCCTTACTGAAATACAGTGTTATAACAAAGTCTTTATGAAAATATTACAAGTCGAGTCATCTTTTTGTCCTAACCTGGATACCGCTGATTTATCATCTTATCACTAAGACTCCAAAGAGACGATCCATTTCCACATTTTTTTGATCTCAGCTCTCCCTCGCTTCCAAGAGGCTCAGAAGCACAGGGCACTTTACTGTAGACTAAACCTAGAGTTCTGCAATGCGCTGCTGACTACCTCTGCAGCCACAGTAGAGCCTATCACATCATACATTAGCAGAGTTCGGGTTAGTTTCAAATTCCGAAACATTACCACTTTAAGCACTCCAAAAACATGATGAGGTTTCACTAACATCTGAAGTCTTGATGTGCATAATACTCAGCCAAAACCAATTTAGCAACCCTGTAATAACAGTAAACACTAACATATTAAGTCTTATAGAAAGTTACTTCCATCTTCTGAATCATCTCTGAACTTGAAGTTTTCATATGAGCTTCAAATTGGTCAAATTCCTTTAGAAAGGTCTGGTTTCGCAGAACAGCTGTTTTTTGTCGTTCATCTATTTCTTTCAAGTATTTTTTCAGCTTCATGTATTTTATTTTCATTCTACGGGGGAAAAAATGAAACTGTACTTAAAGGGTATGAAATTAAAACAAACACATCTACTACAATCACTTTTCTCCAGACACGCACATACTAACACTTACACAGGAGGTGCCCCCACCCCTCCCAAAAGGAGTAGGCACAGTCTTCCGCACAACCGTCCAAAGCTACATTAGACAACCGACAGGATGGCTCCTGAGCAACTTCAGATTTAAACAGCAGGTTTGGCGTTCAAAAGCATAAGTATATTAAAAAAACTCTTGTAAATTTGTTTTAAATACTTATAGGACATTAAATGAAAATTGTATTTAGGAGAACACGTCTGAGAGTCATACAAATTGTGGTGTTAAGGCTGCAGTTTCACAACTGCTTTAAGCTAACCTAAATCCATGCTGACACCAAAAGGGGCATCTCACTCCAAGCCTTTCTTTTTTGTGCCAGTACTATCAGCTATGTGGCCACATGGCAAATTAGGCCAAGAGTAATCCAGCTGAAAATCCATCTAAACCAGTTCTCATCCACCCAAAAAAACCCCACCACAGATTCACTTTCAGCCAGACCTATTTTCTTATCTGATTACAGGGCAGCCACACAAGCACTAGTGCCAACAAAGGGAAAATGTGAACCAGGGGCAGTCAGCAGCATCTTTTGGTCTCAATCTGCCTACAGGTCTACTTAAATCAGTTGTGAAATTGCAACCTAAATCCCCCAAGCTGCCTATATTTTCAGAAAAACTGTAGTTCAAGACCTGTTAGATTAAAATAAATCAAATAAAACCACAAAACAAAGTGCATGTGATGTTTCCCAACCTGCTCAGGCATTTTTCTCTTTATTTCCATCTTCATTTTCTAATCTAAAGGCCCTCTTTCAGAAGAGGGGCTCCTAAGGATTGGCCATTCTTGCACCTAGCCCTCAGTCCCTTGAGCCAAGACAGAAAGTCACATCTATGAGCTTTACAAAACACATTTGAGGAAAGCAAGGCAGGATGAGACACTCTCCAGCCCTCTGTTTTTGTTGGGTTTCTTTTTGTTTTGGTTTGTTGTTTAGAAGTTTGGGGTTTTTTTGTACAGATTGTATACACAATTTACATTAAATAGATAATGCAAAAACAATCCAAGGAGCAGGACCAGAACTTAGAATATCCTCTAGGATTTCCTAAAACTTTTAGACTTTCTAATACCCTAGGGCTTTCTAGCACAAACTATGCTACAGGCATTTTACAACAGTTGCATAAAACCAACTTGCATGTTAGTAATAACTACTACAATAAAACTTCAGTATTATTAAATAACGTAGCTATGTTACTGCTGAAGTTATTTCATCAATAACTGAGACATGAATCTTATGCTATAGATATGAATATAAATGTATTGTTATAAAACATTTCAAGATAACATTCTAAAAGCATTCCATGATACCTAAGTCTTTGTAACTAAAATAAACTTTAAAGTAAGCTTACAGGTATGCATCAGACTTTCTGTATTCCATCAGCTTTCTCTCTAATTCCAGCCTTTTGGTTTCACTGGAAGAAAACAAATGACATGGAGTAAGACAAAACTATTTCACAATTTAAATTCTCAAAATGCAAGAAATAAAGCATTTTACAGAGCACAACCTTTTCAGAGCAGAGAACACATTTTTGCTAGATCGGACACCTTACAGCTACACTTACCACAAGAAACCTCAACCAACAACTCAAAGCTTTCACTTGACCCACCAAAACAGCCAGAGGCTCCTGCCCAGCTTAAGCTGCTGTTTGAAGCCCCTTCTCCCAGGAGGGGCTCTCAACCCCAAAACAGCAGCTCATGAGCTGACAGCTTGTTCAAGAGGACAGCTCCCAGAACTTCTCATAGGAAGGAGCACATTGAAAGAGAGTTCCAAAATAATCCCAGCGCCTCCCCAGCTTACAGGCCTGGTGCGCTAGCCAAGTATTTTATTTAATGATTTGAACTTAAACCCACATCCATATTTCACGCTTGGCACTAAAGCCAAGCACATCTAGAGGTATGCCAGTGCTACTACCTGCCAGAACGGACTACAGGGTAACAGATGGAAGTAACCACCAAAAATATTTAAGGTTGTGAAAATGCTATGGGGCCACCTGTATCTGCCAAAAGCAATACAAGGGTATAGGCCCACGGGGATGATCGGACTGCTTAAGAACAAACTCCACACCTCACCTACAATCTATTTCAAAGAGAGTCTACTTTCAGGAAGAGAAAAGAGTAAAGCTGATAGTATTTAATAATTACAAATTGCACCACCCCATGAGGAAAAAAAAATAATCAATTGATAAGACAGAGGCTTCCAGCAGATCTACGTTACAAACCCTGCAACAATCAAAGCAAGTACCCCAAGTTGCTCATTAAAAAAGAATCTCAAATTCTTACTAGCCGGGAAGGCTGTACGTGTGCAAGCAATACAGGCAGGTACATGGCAAGCATGCCTAGCCATATGGGTGCATATCCATGGATTTGTGTACTCCCCTACGGACGTCCCCATGTCACAGCCACACACAGCTGCCTCATCCCAGTTGCCCTGCACAGAGGGAAGCAAGGAAAAAAACCTTTTCTGCTTCTCAGTCAGAGATCAAGGCATCCATTTTACCCATCTGATCCTGCCACTGTCTGAAACAAGATTAGGTTTTCATGTCATGTATGCAATTTAAAAGCCACGCTTCATCTGGGATCTCATCCTTTCAATTTCCTTTTACATGATGGACAGCTAAGCAAAAGCAGATTTCAAGATCTTGTTTTTACACTTCTGGAAGTAATTTTCATGACTCAATGAAGAACACTGATATCCTGATGGACGTAAAAGCCGATGGATGCGAACAGCCATTGGCTCCAATCCTATTTCTCATTCTCTGATACCACAGGCAGCACATCACACTCCTTAGCTCCTGAAAGATCGTTTCCTTTCTAGCAGCGTGGCTTTTCAGTATCCCACTCGTTAGTCTGGGCCTCAGCTATTTAGACAGCACATGAATATAGAAGTAAGGTCTTCTCAGCGCAAGACGAAGCAGTATAAAAACTATCAGGTAAAAGCCTCTCAGCATTTGAGTATCATCATTATGGATGCCCAAAAAGGTTACCGCACAGCTCTGTCCACGCACGGAATTAGAGGCACTCAGGACTTTACTTGTAGATCTGCTTGCCCAGGTTCTGCTCAGGCTCCAGCATGGTTCCTCTGCGACAGTGACAGAAACAAAGCTTGAAGCAGTACAGGGATCGTTCTGGCCACTCCAGCGCACCACCACCTCCTTTTTCACGTGAAAAAACAAAGCTCTCGGCCTGACACTTTTATTTGTTCATGCAGTTTTGCATTAGGTTAGAGCGGCGCAAACAGTTGGGTATCGACTTTTTTCTTAAATGTGCAAAAATGGCACACTTCAGAACTTTTTAGGGATCCAGGTGGCTCATTTTCAAACAACCCTGAATCTTCAGTCTACAGAGAAAGTGTGTTAGTGTGGGATTTCAGAGCAGAATTAAATTCCCCGGTCAGCCACAAGCTCTCTCTAATCTCTGGCATTTCACCAGGCATCGATCTGTAGTGATATTTGATCTCTCACCTCCCATTTAAACCAGCAGGACTAAGATGCCTCAATATTTTTTGAGATACCAGGCCTTAGTCTCTTTGTGCTTCGGTTCCGCATCCATAAGGTAGGAATAACAGTACTACTGTCATGATACCCTGTTGAGATAAGTACACAGAAAATTGTGCAACATTTGGGCACAATGCAATCTTCCCATAAAAGTAAGAAATGTTATTTTTACAGTTGTTTTTCTACACCAATCTGACGTTAAATCAGCTGTTGAGCACTGAGCTGCATCTACCTTACTAGCCTGGCCAGAGCCTGCTCAAGCCTTAGCCAACTGTGTTGGTCCCCTGGGCGGGTTACAGTAGGGGGGAGATGTTTAGCGCCAACTTTTATGTACAGCTGATAACAGCAGCTGTTTCCAAACCCAATAATCCTACCTGGTTTACATTGTCTGTTCAGGACTGTCCAGTATGTGTACAGGTTTACTGCAAGTCACCCTTGGCATGAGGTATCTGGCCTCACCGTCCGAAAAGCGAAGCTAATTGTAAAGTCAGTCACAGTGTTAAGTACAGCACTTAACTACAGAATTCACTTACTTCATCACCCACACTGCTCCAACACTGCCCTTCTCACCAGCAGCCACTGAAGATTAAGTCTGAGTGATCACAACATGGTCAGGTCAACACAGAAGGCAACCTCTCTACCCCATTTCACCTATCTTAGGCACCTTAAACCTAATTCTCTATAATTTTGCACACAACACAGATACCACTGACCTGCGCGTGCAGTAATTTTTATATTTAGATTGGACAAAGTACCAGCATTAGGAAATAAAACACAGCCAATAGCGTCTAATATGTAATTTAAGGTACAGTTATGGGGCTTTTTGCACAGGTCTCAAGGCAATCCATGCTGTCTATTTATCAGGAGCTTCATATCTGGTGGCTAATTACTCAAGCACTTCAGAACTTAGATATTTAAAGAAAAAAATAGATTTATGAGAACCGGTAGAAAAAGAAATATCCATGAGAACTCCCTTCTAGTTCACCACGTCAGATGGGGGACATAATCAAGCAGCAGCTTCCTCACCATATCCAAGCTCTTGCACATACGGCTTATTAGTAGTGGCTCATTGTTTGCTTAAGCACAACTGCGAACTGAAAGCAGGACTGCAGTCAGGAGGGAAACAGCTGTCGGGTACTTCAGGTCGTAGAACAGGCGACTTGAAATTAGATCAGTGCACAATTCCAAAGCAGGACTTAAAAAGCTGAAACGCTCCAGTGATTTAACAGGAATTTTTATATTCTACACTACAAAAAGTTGTTTAGATGAAAGGCATCACTTTGGTGCTGTAGAGGCGGTTGCCTCTTCAGAATTTCTTGTTCTCAGAGGCAACAACAGCACACAACTTGCAGTCTAGTATAAAAATTAGTCCTTGTTTGCCATCACCACCAAGTACAAATACATCTTTTATATTTTAAAGTGCATACAACAGAAGCATGCCAGGCAGAAAAGGTCTATTTATTATCACAAGACCTGCTAGGCTGGGTCTCCAAAGGAAGCATGGCTTGTGCGATCATGCTGTCGGTCTGCCTGTAATGCCCCTTCCCCAAATAACTCCTGAATCTTTTGGTGCAACTGAATCAGACAGAGGAGCTGCTGGCTGAAGTGTACTACGTTCCCAGAGGTTTCAGAGGAGCTGGGGAAGGGTTGTCCATTTGCGCAGCGTGAGCTCAGCCCTAGCTCAGACCACCGAGAAGCTACAAAGGAGACGATGGAACTTCATGCAGCCCAGGCTCTCGGGAAGCTCAAGACACCTCTACTCCTAACCTGAGGGTTATCTGCACACAAAGAGTTTAAAGCAGCACAGGGCCTACAACACTCAGATTATAATCTGCCCTCTCCATTTTCTAACGCCGCAATTTAGATAAAGTGTCTTTCCTATCTAGGGCCCACATCTTTAATAATTTCTATACAGTAACAGTATACTTTGTATATTTGCATCCAGTCTTTTAAACAGCACGTTGTTCCAGTTCTGTTTGCCAGTGGTCTCCCAGACTAGAAGACATACACAGTATTTTTATAAAAGCACTATCTAGGTGCAAGTTTAAATTCCCACAGCCATGGTGTTCTTTCTGCTAATACTGTATGTTTGAGATGCTAGCATAAGACCCAGAAATCCAAGTTTTCCGTATTAGATAGAAAACAGGCACTGCTCAAAAAGCAACTTTATAACAGTATACCATAAATGGTCTCGAGAGACTTACTCTGGCTAGAAAAAAAAAAAGTGCTAACTGACACCAATTACTGTGGTTATCGCAGCGAGCATCAGGCCAGGAGCATCACTAACTGTGCACAGCTTCAGGGGAGCGGAGACTGAGATCCCTCAGACCAAAGCCCCCGCAGGAAGCCTGCGTCACCACCTACACTTGCTTTTCTCCTGAAAGTCAGGACCCACCCTGAATCACCCGCAACACCTACAATAACTTTTGTTAAGGATTAAAAAGGTGCTTGGAGGAGAAACGTTTGTGCAACAAGCCAGCTCTGGCATATCAGCATCTGTATTATTCGCCTGCCTGAAGTAACAAGTAATTCTGCAAACGCTGCTGCAGAGCTTCAGGAGGCCCCGGACACAAGCAGTGACCGGCCCGCAGCGCTCCCAGAAGTCACCCAGCGCGCTAAGCCAGCGGCCGCAGAGCAGAACGGCCCAGGGCGCAGCAGCCCGGTGCTACCGCTAAGGCGGCTTTACCCGCCCCCCCCGAACACACAGTCGGCCGGAGGAAAATGAGAGAGCAGAGGGAGGCGACCGAAGTGCCCTGCCCCCCC